GGTATCCTTGTGTATCCTCGTGACATTAGCCCTTTAAGACTGTAAGATGCGCTCCGAACAATTGGAATTGTTTATTGCGCCATTTGACGAGTTGTTGGCACTCACAATAGATAACAAGCGACTGGTAAAATAAAGCATAGTCAAGGCAGTTACAATGAAACCAATGAGCATGTGTTTCCGCCATTTCTTCCTCCAGACGCGCACCACTGCGATATTTAAATAGGACATCTGCAGCCAAAACGATAAAGAATTAAAGGCGAAGTCGATGCTAAGAGCAATGGAGACACGAATCAAAAATTCTTTTATTCCTGACAAAGTATCTCTACCGTTATACATGACGTTGTAAAGCTGAAGGAAACCGACCGCTGCTATCAATGACGTGGATTCGCCCAAGATCATCTGAATGCTCATATCGGCCACAAAGCGCATGCTCCGTGGCGAGCGAAATTGATTTGCTTTCAAAATTAATTCTCTCCCGTCTCTTTTGAGCTTCTTGTAAATGAAGTACCAAATATAATCGCGAATAACGATAGTCAATCTTTCCAGCAAGTCTATCGCACCATGCGCGAAGCTGAGAATGATGTAAAGTTTAAGACTGTTCAGTTCCGCTTGCATAACGCGAAAAACGATGGCGGAGGCGCTGTAGAGTACGATTAACAGCACGTGCGAATCGCCTGGATGAAGGAAATCGATTCTTTGCGCCGCCAAGCGTACAATGACCTTTGGAATAGCAGTTGCTAGAGGCACTGCCCCGGCTATGACCGCTCTGTAGGTTTCAGATGCTTCGCCATACAAAGGTATCAGAACGTACACGAGACCAAATGTGATCGGGATTCCAAAGGCAAACTGAGCTATCAGCATGGCCAATACCTGGATCGTTTTTTTGATTCTTTTGTTCCTTTCCGTTTCGCTGTTCTTTGCTATTTCTCTGCCAATGATTAAACTGTTTGTCACTAATATGAGAACAAAGAGACCGTTACACGGGTACGACATCCAAGGCTTTCTGAACACGCCGTATAAGCGAGCATACAGCCTGATACACGGGTCCAACAGCGCGCCCAGAAGATTCAACGTCAGTAGATTGAGTTTCTTTATCAAACGCCACTCAAACATTGTCAACACAACAAGAAAAGTCCACAGCTGAATCACGAAGGATTCTATTATAGAAAATGTTACTATCATTCTCTGATATTTCTTGGAAACCGCCGTCCAGTGAGGGTATTGCACATCAAAGCAAATATCTATAGTGTTTAAATTCAAAATAAGTATTGAAAAGGCGAGAGACCCCAACGCAACGCCTCCAAGAAACTGAATGTGAAATGCATACTTCATGCCTTTCCATAGCGACTTTAGTCGTGTTGGACGAGATCTTTTCCATCCCATTTTGCTGTCGTCCCCAGGAGGGGGGTCATATTCTTGAAAAATCTCGTCGTTTCNCGCGCCCAGAAGATTCAACGTCAGTAGATTGAGTTTCTTTATCAAACGCCACTCAAACATTGTCAACACAACAAGAAAAGTCCACAGCTGAATCACGAAGGATTCTATTATAGAAAATGTTACTATCATTCTCTGATATTTCTTGGAAACCGCCGTCCAGTGAGGGTATTGCACATCAAAGCAAATATCTATAGTGTTTAAATTCAAAATAAGTATTGAAAAGGCGAGAGACCCCAACGCAACGCCTCCAAGAAACTGAATGTGAAATGCATACTTCATGCCTTTCCATAGCGACTTTAGTCGTGTTGGACGAGATCTTTTCCATCCCATTTTGCTGTCGTCCCCAGGAGGGGGGTCATATTCTTGAAAAATCTCGTCGTTTCCATTAAACTTTTTAAAATCCTCCAGCGGATCTTGGCCTTGCAATAACGGTGCATTGAGCTGTTGTTGACCTTGATAAGACTGAATCACCCCAGCGGTGAACGTCTCCGTGACGTAAAAAAACAAGCCTTCGAGCGAGAATGGAGTCGCTGCCATTGCTTATAATTCCCTCAAGTGAATAACGAAAACTTCTAAGTGCTCCTCTGCTTCCAAGCTGGCTTTTGAGTTCCTGAAACTGAAATCGAATTGCTGTGTGTTGTTTACTTATATAGAACACTCGCCATTTGACTGAAAGTCTGTTCTGCGTGATAGATCAATTCTCGGAAAGAGTTATGCGCATAAATTTAGGATTTTTGACGTTTTAAAAGTTTTTTCCCTTCAAGGTAGCGAGAAGAAGAGTTTAAGACCACTAGATATGTACGTACATTTTTGTACTCAAATAGTACGGTGGATCGAGTAATCGAAATCCTTAAAAAATACGAACTATTTGAAACGCGATACGAACGAGTAGTCGAACAGAATGACCTGTACTTTTTGACAGTAACAAAAGTAAACAATTCCGGGAAATCATAAAAAAGGATCTCTTATTGTGTTTATTTGAATAAAGTTAAAGCATATGGCCAAATTAATGCTTACAAATAAAAGCTGACTTGGTGAATATACATCCCATTTTTGTGATGAAACTTTGCGGTACTCTTTCTTTACGAAGCATATTCTATATAATTTAAAAGCAGAGGTCACACAATCCTCCCTCGGTCATGAGTCCATGTGAGTATAATAGTAGGAAGGATCAACGTTGCATCAAGTGTCCTCGGACGCTAAGGTTTCTATTTGTCATTTAAGCAGACATTAAAAGTACATATCAGAACTCCAATTCTTTCCGCACTAGAAGGCACAAAAGGCTGTAAATAACAAAACCAGCAATAACTACAAGATCACCCGAGGGTAAACACCCTCTGATAACTTGAGGGTGTAAATACAGAACGGTTTTACCATTCTATGATAAAAAATTGTATTTTGGATGAAAAAAAAAAAGGTACACGCTTCAGTCCCCTCGGCTTTTAATCTTATGCAATGCGCAATGTACCTGCTACAAGACTAAGAAAGGAAAATAGAAAAAGAGGAAGGAAGAAAAATATATTACGAGGTAATTTCATTTTACTGAACACGATTTCTACAACCTTGTTCAATACAAAGAAGACATTTTTATTTAAATATTTTACCTCACTTATTAAAAATAAGCATATTGCAGGCAATATCTATTAAACACTCTAAATAAAAACAATACATTCATACCGATATCAATGAAATTCTCAAACTGACACTGCTTTCATGTTCTTGATAATACTGCCCAAATATTCTTGACATCAGAGCACCTCAGTTGTAATTAACTAAGTACTCTTCTTAAAAGCACTCCAACAAGATACATCCAAAACTAACACTTCTTCAAAAACTCATACACAATTCACAGAGTAAATACCAAAGAAAGTATATGTTTCATTCATTAATGTTTCTAAATTTGATGAAACACGGATCTGCTTGAAGGGCCGGTTTTCTCAGAAAAAAAAAGGATTATTCGTAAAATGAAAAGATCTTCACGTTTTTAACGGTAGCTTTTCAAGCCGCCCAAAAACTCCCCGTTTTGTGCTTTTTCAGGTTAAAAGCACCTTGATCCAACTCCTCTGATCGTTTATTCATTCTCTCTTGCTTTTAGCATTTCATGAAGAGAAAACAAGGGAAATCACTTCCTTAGAGAAGGTTTAGAAATTGGATCTTGATTACCATTTAATTCGCGAACTTGAATGCTTTAAATTTTTCTCAAGAATTATTGATAATTTTAGAAGCTATATCTAAATTTCCCAAAAGCTATGTCTAAATTCCTTAAAGAAGTTTTAAAAAAATCTCGACGGCACCCCTTGATTTCAACCCAGTTGTTGCTGTTTGGATGACGGAGGAAACACTATATCGCGCGTGTTTGATATCGGTGAAACAATTGTGACTCGTGTTTGATATCAGTGGAAACACTTGTGTCTCGCGTTTGATGTCGGAGGAAATACTGTGTCTCGTGTTTGATATCGGAGGAAATACTGTGTCTCGTGTTTGATATCAGAGAAAATACCGCGTCTCATGTTGTACTTCGGAGGAAACACTGTTTCACGTGATTGATATCG